GGAACCGTAGCATGGTTAAGGGCTCTGTAATCCACACAAAAACGCCAACTTTCGTCTTTCTTTTTGACTAAAAGGACCGAGCTTGAGTAGGGGCTTGTACTTAGTTGAATAATACCCGCAGCTAGCATCTCAGAGACAAGACGTTCAATCTCATCTTTATGGAATTGAGGATATTTGTAAGGACAAATAGAGATAGGAAAGGTGCTTTCCTGTAAGACAATAGCATGTTCCGTAGCCCGTGCAGGGGTAAGCCTGTAGGCATGTCAAAAATATCTTTGAACTCATCTAGTAAGGCGGAGATTGGCGGGGATGTAGGCAAGACAGAGTTCAGCGGAGGATCCACTATCTGCAATTGTTTTAATTCTATCAAAACCCCTTGTCCCTCATRTTGTAAGTTGCGCATCATGGCATGCAAAGATACCTAAGAGGAATTGAGAGAAGGGTCGCCCTGCAACTTTACCCGGACACCTCCCAAATTGAGCTTCATAGACATGTTGCCCCAATTCATCACCGAGTCCCCGAGGGATGCTAACCAAGGAAATCCAAGAATGACATCCGTAGAACCCAACTTTAAGGGAAAGAGATCAGCAATGACATCCAATTTAGGTAAGTTGAGGCAAACCTGACGACAGACTCCAGAAGTTCTCACCTCATCACCATTTCCCATCTGAACTCCAAATTCGTGTGTAGGGGTGCGGGGTAATTCCAATTCTTCCACTAAAGTTGCAGAGATAAAGTTGTGGGATGCACCCGAGTCTACCAATATGACCACCTCACGTGACAAAATGCATCCACGCACCTTAAGGGAATTTGCCGCACACAACCCAACAAGAGACGAGACACAAAGTGCAGCTGATTTTGGAGCCGGAGCAATTTCAGTGTCCCTGGAAGTGCAGTCCCAATTAGGCGCATCAAAATCAAATTCCTCCATGTCATCTTGAACCCATAAAACCTAAAGTGATTTTTTAGCACAACGATGTCCCGGGCTGTATTTCTTGTCGCAATGAAAGCATAGACCCTTTGGTCATTTCTGCTGCATCTCTTTGTCGGTCATCTTTTTGAAAGCAGAAGGTGGGGCCTTAATAATAGGGGCTGATGCAGGAGAAGGAGGGATTGCGGCTCGTGTAGGTCGGGTGACAGCAGAAGTAGTCACTTACGAAGCCCGTGAGTTAAAGTGGGTTCCAGAGATGGACATTGTGGCTCCACGAGGATATGAACTGGATTGATAGGCCCATAAGGCCTGATTCTTTTCCTTAATTTTCTAGGCTGCAACCATTTTTCTAATCAGCTCAACGAGTTCCATCTGTCGGAGTTCGGCCTGGATATATGGGCGCAACCCATTCACAAAGGCTGCTTCAAGGACTGATTCTGGTAGGTCACGTAAGGGGGAAGAAAGCACCTCGAAATGGCGACAATATTCCTTGACAGTAGTAGATTGACGTAATGATAGAAGCTGCTCCTACAAGTTTCCCTCCTGAGTTTATCGGAAACGTTCAAGGAGGAGTTCCTTGAATTCTGCCCAACTACGAAAGGGTCGTCGACCATCCTCCCAATAATACCACGCCAGTGCATCACCCTCTAAACAGACCACTGCCGCCCGCAGACATTCTGCCGAAAGCAAGCCATTAATCTCAAAATAGTGCTCCGCGCGAAAAAGCCAGCCATCTGGATTTTCCCCATAAAAAATAGGCAGCTCCCACTTCCTTGGAAGTGAATCAGAAGTATGTTCCGGGACTGTCATTGAAGGGGACGTCGGGAAGGCTGCACCCTTCCCTTTGTCAGCCGCACGACTAGATGTGGATATAGGAGGAACATTGTCAGTTGTAGACAAAGGAGCTGACAAGGACTGTTGCTGCAGCAACAGATCAAAATGCCTTACCAAGTCTTGAACGCCTCCTTCCAGGGATGTGATCTTCAATAATCCAGTTGTTATCTCATCACGCAAGCCATCCACTTCAGAATGCAGAGAAGTCAAGCGTTCTTCGAAGCCCTCCACCTGCAATGCCACTTCCTTAGCTGTCACCATGGCCGAAGAAAAACCTGGCTCTGATACCACTGATATGTCCTAGGAATTTGATACGCAGTTCACAGACTCACAACAGAATCCAAACCACTAGTACTTTAATAGGGAACTGATATTCTTTCAGAAGAAAAGAGGATCACTTACAGTAGGTCGGTTCTTCGAGAGACCGTCGGCTCTCCCAAGCACCCTCAGAATTCTGTACTCAGCAAAAGTCTGGCTTCTCCATCCCCCAAAGCCCCTTCTTATACACATCTTACAGCATAACTGCCTTACGTAATAAATGCCCCCGAAATATAAATGCCCCACTCTTCTTATAAATGCCATAAAAACTCTCCCTATTCCCTCCAGTCATAAATTCCCCCATGTACAATTATTTCCCCGCCTTGGCCGCCTGCTAACCTTTCCCATTCCTGGTGTATGTAAAATTAATTGGGGCCTATCAGTACATTAGGTAGGGTTAGAGACAAGGTGGTCCTTTTCTAGCTGGCATTAATTGTCAATAGCAGCTTCATTCAGAAAATCCCTAGTCCAAAAGGGAGATGACCCGTTTTCAGGTATTTTGAAAATCTGAAACTGTTGGCACCGTTGAACCTACACTTCGTCTAGGAGAATGTCTGGATTCAGTGCATATGTGCCAAAACAAGCACCAATATAGGTTTTATGGTAACAACAAAAAGCAAACAGAAAACAAAGACAGAATATTTACTCGGTTCAAACAAATTACCTTATATTTTCTTTTATTTATTTACTGAGGAATGGGTGGTGAGATGGGTGCGCGTGAGATCCAATGGCCATACCACAGAGAACCTAACCTGTGGTTCCGCGAGATGTGATACCCCTGTGTCATCCAAAAAAAAGAAAAAAATTGGGAAAAGAAAATATGATATTAGATAGAATTGGCCCATTTTAATACAGTCACGTTATTGGTCCCGTTTTAATACAGTCACATGATTACGGCTGTATTTTTTGGTTAATGTCGAATTTTAAAATGCTATTATTTATTCAGTATTTGAACTTTAAAAAGGTATTAATYTAATTAATTGACATGTTGATATGTGAAAAGATACAAATACTTTTGRAAAAAGTAAGGAGGCACTCGATACAGAATTCTGAATTCCAGCCCTCCCCTACAAGTAGCCCTGTCCCCCCTATAAACCACATCCTACCCGTGAATTTAACATTAATTCACGGTCAGGATGCATTCCACTTGTACTTTGAGCCTAATAAATTCTAAATTAGGCTGATTTGTACTTCTCCCAATACTTTTTGGATGTACATAGTGAGACTGAAATGACTGCATCCTTGAAGAATGATAAGAAAATTAAATGATTTATTTTACCCCGTTAACATTATTTGAAATAATCCTATATACTAATGCTTTTCTACAATCATTGTTCTCGGCATACCATGTGATTATAGTATTGTAGGAGATCAGATCTCTCTGAAGCATTTCCTCGAACAATATTACAGATTTACAGCCTCTTCGTTAAAACTAAACTTCAAAAATAGAAATTAGTAAGTCCTAACACAAATTGTAAACCAAGTGAGCGATTTCGTCAAAGAATTGGAATTAGAGAGCATAAGTCATAAGATGGGTCCATGTGCCCATATATGATGGTAACAGCAGGACAGAAGACATGTTAGATTTCTAATTGAGCAAGTGGAAATGGACTAGATGGACTTCTAGAAATGGACCAAAGGTGGATTTGTCATAGAAAAAGCATCCTTAATTCAATTTGGATATTTGACCTGGTTATGAAGCGTGCAAGGAAATTTCTATCATCATTGTCATAATGAAGATTTCAAGAGTTGAACTTCTTCAGTGGTCAATCGGTCAACACGCAACCAATACCCTTTCCTCCTCTTCATATATAAATCTAAGAAGCAGGAACACGCAGCCAGCATAAAGCATGACATGGAACAGAAGACGATATGGGATCTCTCATCCATATTGATGCTCTTTCTTCATTGACTTCACCGAGCTTCCTCTTGACTAGACTTGTTAATGGATTGGGCCGGGCTTTGCCTCTTAATCAATAAAAAATGTTCAGGCCCGAGCCTGATTTACACATAAAATGTTTTATTTTTTGTGTAATTTAATAAATTAATATATTATTTCATATTTTCTGATTAGTAAATTAATATTTGATAATAATTTAATAAATAAATACATTATATATATATTTATTTTATTAAATATAAATAATGTATATTTCTATTATATATAATAGAATCAGGCCAGATTTATTTGAAAAAGCCCAAATCCGAGGGTCTGAAATTTTGTCTAAGCCTGAAAAATATTGGGCCAGGCCGGACTGGTCTATTAGGCTACTCAGCCCATGAACAGATTTAGTCTAGACCCATCTAAAAGGGAAAGGTTTCCTTACCCTTTCCTTCCCTTCCTTTCCTTACCTTTTCCTTCAAACCAAACATAACCTAAACCTAAAGTTACAGCTTCATAGATGGAATCCACAAGCTCTGGGTGTATCCTATAGACATGCCCTATAAACCAGACAGTAACACCAAGCCTCGTATGGAGATACACATCCTAGTAAGCAATTCAAAGCCCTTACCTCAGCAGCTTATATAATTAGTTTGCAAATTTTTCATACATTAATGTACCAAGCGGCACAAGTGCAGTTTCCGTTTGAATGTCATCCACGACATCGATGCCGGGAAGCTGAAGGTGTTCATCGATGCTACTCTGAAATTAGAGGTGCATGACCGTGGAGGAGAGCCTTATTATTTCAATAAAATGTGGGGTTTACGCACAGGATGGTTCTTCCAACTACATGGAGTCGAATCAAGCTCTTCAAAATGTGACCGCCAGCTGGTGATTTGCACAGCATGTAATAAATAAAGGGTAATTTTATGAATTATAATCATCTTGAGGAAGAAGATGATGAACAGTATTTTATTTTTAAGAATAATTTTAACATTTTGAAAAATTTTAAATCTCTCACATAATGTCAAGTGATATACATAACTGACGGTTCATTAAGAATAATTACTAGATTGTCACGCTTTGAAAATTCTGATACTGAATTATCACATTTTAATTCAAAACTCGAACACGGTCTAAGCATGATTTCCCGTCCAGTTGATTGCTTTGTTGAAGTTGAATGTATTCTTTATATTTTATCCCACGGTATGCTGGTGGATGGTTTTCACAGTCTACAAGATGTGCAGCCGGAGTCACAACTGTTTCCAGAAATGGGCCATGTGCAAGGGCTAGTGATATCCTTGTGGCATTGTTGTTGACGACCACCCGATGCAGCACGCTCTTGTATTTCCCATTGCTTACTATCTAAATATACAACAACACAATTTCTATAAATTAATAATAATAATCAGATCTCAATCACCAAACAACACGGCCACTGTCAGTCATTCTTTAACATGCCAAACTTGTATAGTTTGCTTTGCTTCATTTTAATCTTCGCGCATTTATGAAAGCTCAAACTTATTTGAAGACTGATCTAACCGGTCACGTATCATTTTTTGGCTAAGTACCTTGTCAATTCGTCTGCTCCCAAGTGGCTTGTGACTCAGGGGCTGAAGTGGAGCTCCCTAGCGTAGCGCAACCCAACTGCTCCCTGTAGGAGGTGATCTGGCTACCAGCAGCAACGGGAACTGAACCGACTGCTTCCTGCTGGAGATGATCTGCTCATCTCTATAGGCAGTAGGAACTGAGGGACGTGCACGAACTAAATCAGAGAACCCAGGGGTGTTTACCCGGCGAGGTCACTCCGATGGCTAAGTCAGCACTTAGTAGCGAGCTGAAAATGATATAAGAGAATGAGAGAGCTAGAGAGCAGGGGTTACCATCCCCCCTCGCCCCTGAGGGTGAAGCCTTTATATACTAGAGTCCTCGCGGGTTTGGAGGAGCAGTTCCTGGATTCCCACTGTGACGGGACCTATTTTCGTGTTAGGTGGGGATAAAGCCACCAACTGGTAAGGTAGCCCATTTCCGCCTAAGTCAGGTAGTGGGTGAGCTAATATAGCCGTTACAAGTCACAATCCCGTAAAACACAGGGTACGGTGGTGAGCTCCTTGGGGTTGTCAGGTTGGCACGTGGGCCAGGCCACTAGGTCGTGCCTGGGCCAGGCCGACAGGTCGCGCCTATGCCAGGCTACATGATGGTGAGCTGCCTGTGGCGAGCTGCCTAGTGGTGAGATGCCTGTGGCGAGCTGCCTGGTGGCGAGCTGCCTAGTTGTCAAGAGGCAGCACTTAGTTGTCATGAGGTGCCAGGTGTCATAATGTCATTAGAGAGCCAAATCCGCCCTCATCATTTGCCCCCCACTCCCGAGCTGAAGATAACTCGGCGAAGGGAGTAGATTTCTCCTTTTGGCCCATAATTTGACGAGCTCGTAAGCGCTGATTCAATTTCTTAGGCTCTGGGGGCGACTCGCAGTCCACTCCTGGACTTTGCCCATGCCGAAGAGGCGACTGGGTCTTATGCAATATTGTGGCTCTTAGGCTTCAGAGAGCGACTCGTAGTCCACTCCTGAACTTTGCCCATGCTGAAGAGGCGAATGGATCTTATGCAGTAGTGTGGCCCTTAGGCTTCGGGGAGCGACTCGTAGTCCACTCCTGAACTTTTCCCATGCCGAAGAGGTGAATGGGTCTTAAGCAGTAGTAGAGCCCTTAGGCTTTGGGAGCGACTCATAGTCCACTCTTAAACTTTGCCCATGCCGAAGAGGTGAATGGGTCTTAAGCAGTAGTACAACCCTTAGGCTTTGGGAGCGACTCATAGTCCACTCCCAAACATTGCCCATGCCGAAGAGGCGAATGGGTCTTAAGTAGTATCAAGCTGCCTGTGAGGTGCTGGGCTGATCAGGTGCCAAGCTACGTGTGAGGTGCTGGGCTGATCAGGTGCCAAGCTGCCTGTGAGGTGCTGGGCTGATCAGGTGTCGAGCTGCCTGTGAGGTGCTGGGCTGATCAGGTGCCGAGCTTCCTGTGAGGTGCTGGGCCGATCAGGTGCCGAGCTGCCTTTGAGGTGCTGGGCTGATCAGGTGCCGAGCTGCCTGTGAGGTGCTGGGCTGATTAGGTGCCGAGCTGCCTGTGAGGTGCTGGGTCGATCAGGTGCCAAGCTGCCTGTGAGGTCGGTATTTTAGCCCTTAGGGTATGGGGCGACTCGTAGTCCACTCTTGAACTTTGCCCATGCCGAAAAGGCGAATGGGTCTTATGCAGGTGTTGAGGTCAATTGTTAGCTTGGCCTTTGGTCTTCTGGGGGTAAGGAAGTCTTTTATCAGTCCATCAGTTCGCGCTTGGGCCAGGCCGCCAGGTCGGCGCCCGTGCCAGGTCGTGCCAGGCCACGGTCGCGCATGGCTTCCAGGCCACGCGCAGGCTGCGCGCAAGCCACGCCAAGCCGCCAGGCCATGCGCAGGCGGGCGTCTTATAGCTATGAAGCGAGAGCTTCAGTTTTTTTGAGTTCATAAAAAATGGAAACTATAAAGCGAGAGCTTCAGTTTCTAAAAAGCGAGGGCTTAGATTTCTAGGAGAAGAGGACATAGCTTTTTGTAGGATGAGAACTCAGCTCTTTGTAAGACGAGAATTCAACTCTTTGTAGGATGAGAACTTAGCTTTTTGTAGCGTGTTCCCACAAACGGTGTCAATTGATGTAACCGTTTCCAGTCACGTATCAGTTTTTGACTAAGTACCTCATCAGCTCGTCTGCTCCCAAGTGGCCTGTGACTCAAGGGCTGAAGTGGAGCTCCCCCTAGCGTAGCGCAACCCAGCTGCTCCCAGCAAGAGGTGATCTGGCTACCAGCAGCGACGGGAACTGAACCGGCTGCTTCCTGCTGGAGATGATCTGCTCATCTCTGTAGGCGGTGGGAACTGAGGGACCTACACGAACTAAATCAGAGAACCCGGGGGTGTTTACCCGGTGAGTTCACTATGATGGCTAAGTCAGCACTTAGTAGCGAGCTGAAAATGATATAAAAGAATGAGAGAGTTAGAGAGAAGGGGTTACCATCCCCCCTCGCCCCTAGGGGGTGAGGCCTTTATATATTAGAGTCCTCGCGGGTTTGGTGGAACAGTTCCTGGATTCCTGCTGTGATGGGACCTGTTTTCGTGTTAGGTTGGGATAAAGCCACCAACTAGTAAGGTTGCCAATTTCCGCCTAAGTCGGGGAGTGGGTGAGCTAATATAGCCATTACAAGTTACAATCCCGTAAAATGCGGGGTACGGTGGTGAGCTCCTCGGGGTTGTCAGGTTGGTGCGTGGGCTAGGCCACCAGGTCGCGCCTGGGCTAGGCCGCTAGCTCTCATGCTAGGGCCAGGTTGCGCCAGGGCCAGGCTGCCAGCTCGTGCCAAGGCCAGGTCGCACCAGGGACAGGCTACCMGGTCGCGCCTGTGCCAGGTGACGAGCTGCCTAGTTGTCAAGCTCGTGCCTATAGCGAGCTACCTAGTGGTGAACTGCCTGGTGACGAGCTGACTAGTTGTCAAGAGGCTGCACTTAATTGTCATGAGGTGCCAGATGTCATAATGTCATTGGAGGGCCAAATCCGTTCTCATCAAGGACCATTAATTTTTCCTCCTTTCTATGCGAGGAGAGGAGACCCTAATGCCAATGCATGCTATATATACGTACGTGGTTGAATAATCGGCAACAACAGTTCCTAATATCAAATTAACTAAAAAATAATGCAGTAGTACAGAAGTTGAACGACTTTTTAAATATTGGATCATACATGAAAATTAATAAACAAAGTTAAGCACGTAAAATTACAGGTAATGTGGTTCATACGATTTTAGGCTGCTTGTACATCAGATATGGAAACTTGTACCTATTATAACCGGAACACCTTTGTCTAGCTATGAATCTTTCGATTAGGATAAACTTAAAATCATTAAGCTCCACCCTTTCACCGACGGTACATGAGATTTGGTTACTATAAGAGAGCCTATGATAAAGTAAACCATTGCACTGTGTAATTAACAAATTAACTAGACTGCTTCTCGATTATGAATAGGACTCAGCTGAGGTGAAGGGGTATACTTGATTTTATCAAATTAAGCAAAGTGATCGACCCAATCAACAAGTGATGCCAATTAGAAATCAAGAAATTAATTAACTGTTATACACACCTAATTAATTAATTATAACTGCTGGAAATAATAAGCTAGCAGCTGGGACGTCAAACAGAAAGCAACCAGCAAAGTGATATAATTAAGATATATGAAGGAATAATTGGGAGATCAATGTGAATGTGCAGTTACCTCGATGTGATCCCCGGTATTAACGAGGAAAGAGTTGGGGAGAGCATTCACATGGACCCACTTTCCTTTGTGTTGGACTTGGAGGCCATCAACGTGGTTCTGTATTAGGAGGGTCAAGAGGCCATGATCAGAATGACAAGGCAGTCCCATTGTAAGTTGGGGCTGGGGGCACCGAGGGTAGATATTGGCAATCAGGATCTGGAACCCAGACTCAAGTTGAAGTGTTGTGTCCATGTACCATTCCTCCAATCCCAAGCTTTGGGATATCCCTCTCAGTAATTCCCTAGCCACTTCCCTTGTTCTCTTGCAATATTCTAAAGATATCTCCCTGCGCAAATATTATACATGCATCCAACAATATCGATCGGTGATGAACTGATTCCATCTATTCTATATATAGCTAGCAACGCCCATTGGCTAACTCAATCAGCTTATATTATATTATAAAAAGAAAATAATTAATAATAAGTAGAATACCTGAACTCGGGGGGTTTGTCGGGGGAATGAAATTGAGGATGTACAAAGACCTTGAGAAAGTCCCTCCAGAACAAAACCTTCTCCACCGACGTATTAAAACTCGTCCCGCACCTAATGGGATCCAATACGTGCTTTCCGGCATACTCTTGCTTCTCCTCCTCCGTCAGATCAAAGAAACTTTGGCAACCCCTCAGCATCTCTTCCCTTAGAGTCTCCGGCACGCCGTGGTTTACTACCTGTTGTGTGATGAGTCGAACTAGCTATTTCAAATTTCAATCAATCATGTATTTATACTTTTGAAAGACTAAAGAAATTAAGGGGAATAGCTAGGTTGCGAGTTGCGATTGATGATATGATCTATTCTACATACATACCATGAAGAAGCCCCATTCTTGGCATGCCTTGCCAAGGTCTCGTATGGTACTGGACCGTTGCTCAGGCGTTCCGGATTTGAGAAGGGAAAAATCAATGGTTGGAATCACTTCTTCCGCTTCGGCTACGACTTGATCATCATCATCATCACCGGTACTGGTGCAGAAGATGTAGTTGGAAGGGATGGTGGTAAGGTTTCCTGATTCAGCAAATTCCTTGAGGAAACCCATCTCAGAGTCAGTACAGTCAGGTTATGGCCTCGTGGGGAAGACAGATAGATAAACGATTGAGAACAATGGGGTCCGGATCTACTGCACATCTTTCCGTACATGCCAGTCAGGTAACGTGAACCACAATCTTATCCCCAGTTTCAAACGTCCTCCACTGTCCGCTTTTAATATATTAAATTTTATAACAAATAAAAATATGGGTTAAAATTTTCTTATTCATCTTTAGCTGTGTTTGGTGATTAAAGTGATTGTTAAAAGAATTATTTTTTGGAATTACTTGTTTTAACAATCATTTAAGACTTTTTTGGTGATTCATTTACCAAATCATTTATTATATTTTTGGGAAAATTCCTGATCAGTACTCGTATACTTTGGCTCAAGTGACAATTTGGTTTTAAAATATGACAATCCAGTACCCAAACTTTTAAAATATGACAATCCAGTACCCAAACTTTCAAAACATAACAATTCAATACCTATTGTCAATGAGTGACATTTGAAAAGTAAAAAATGCCCTTCAAATGCCGTATAATTCTCTTTATCAACCATCCAAACGTTGACAAAAAACTGAAGAGTCCCAAATCCTAGCCTCTTCTATTCAAAAAAGTTGGTAATTGTTTAGAAGAATCTAGAATTTGGGACTGTTCATTTTTTCGTCAATGTTTGGATAGTTGATAAACAAAATTAGATGGCACTCTTAGGGCATTTTTGACTTTTCAAATGTCACTTAACTGCTGATTAATGGACTGGTTAACGACAGGTACTAGATTGTCACATTTTGAAAGTTCGGGTACTGGATTGTCACATTTTAAAAGTTTAGATACTGAATTGTCACATTTTAAAAGTTTGGATACTGAATTGTCACATTTTAAAAGTTTGGATATTGAATTGTCACATTCTAAAGTTCGAAGACCAATTTGTCACTTGAGCCAAAGTACAGGTTACTGATCAGGAATTTTCCCTATGTTTTTTAAGTATGCACTGGGGTGGAGATGTTTGGTAAACTACTTTCCCGAGAAGTGCCTATATTGACACAAATGACAATTTTATCCCTCACTTCACTTATACATATAAATAATGCTTTTCACATATTATACTATACATTTCAATAAAAAATCGCCACATCATGACACTTGAGAGCCCACGTGGGCCCATACATGGAGCGCCATGTGGACCCAAATAATAATAATAATAATAATAATAATAATAATAACAAATAATAAATAATAATAATTTAGCAAGTACTTTCAAAGCACAATTTTCACAGAATACTTATAGAAAGTGCTTTCAAGGCATAGTTTTCACAAAATATTCCTAGAAAGTGCTTTTAATGCACAATTTTCACAAAATACTTCTAGAAAGCACTTTTAAGGTGCAATTTTCACAAAATACTTCTAGAAAGCATTTTTAAGGCACAATTTTCACAAAAAAAAATAAACTTTCAATAAGTGCTTTTAAGGCACAATTTTCACAAAATACTTTCAGAAAGCACTTTCAAGGCGCAATTTTCACAAAATACTTCTAGAAAGCACTTTTAAGGCACAATNTTTCACAAAATACTTTCAGAAAGCACTTTCAAGGCGCAATTTTCACAAAATACTTCTAGAAAGCACTTTTAAGGCACAATTTTCACAAAATACTTCTAGAAAGCATTTTTAAGGTGCAATTTGCACAAAAAACTTCTAGTAAATGCTTTTAAGGTGTAGATTTTACAAAATACTTTTAAAAAGCACTTTCAAGGCGTAATTTTCATGAAATACTTTCAAAAAGTGCTTTTAAGGCGTAGTTTTCACAAAATACTTCCAGAAATTGCTTTTAAGGCGCAGTTTTCACAAAATACTTCTAGAAAGCACTTTCAATGCACAATTTTCACAATATACTTCTATAAAGCACTTTCAAGGTACAATTTTCACAAAATACTTCTAGAAAGCACTTTTAAGGTACAACTTTCACAAAATATTTCTAGAAAGTGCTTTTAAGGCATAATTTTCACAAAATACTTCTACAAAACATTTTTAAGTCATAGTTTTTACAAAATACTTCTAGAAAGTGTAATTAAAGAGCAGTTTTCACAAACTAATTCCATGTCCATGTTCATTTAATGTGTCCTAAAGTAACATAAAAGTGCGGATATTTGTAAAATTGCATTCCACTTGGACATGTACAACATGCCCAGTGTAATTACTCCAACTAGCAAGACACACGTGGATGCCCAATGCACATAAGTTAATTTGGATGCATCATTCTTACCGGACGGCTCAATAGTTGAAGAATCATGTAAAGCCATGAAATGGCGGAATTGACAATTTGCTTCTTTGTATGTTTTATATGAGCAAAACACTGCACCATTGTACCGGTGGACCTGCAAGTTGCATTTGGCCCAAGTATCATATATATACTTGGTGTAGGAGAGGTAAGAGTTGGGTGTAGGTGGTCTCTTTGAAAGACAAAGAGAGGCCTGTGAATAGGGGGATGAGATCTCCAAGTTAAGGATGTAAGAATGGAGGAAATGGAGAGAGAGAGAGAGAACTCGGGGCTGCCAGATGACAAAATGCTAAGGATTCGATGATTCTCAATACGAAGAGGGCCCTATTTATGGGGGAGGTCCTGAGATCCTAAAAGGTAGGAGATAAAGACATCCACATCGTATCGTGAAAAGGAATATTGGATCCGCTGTCAATTATTAAGTGCATTACTGGGGTCTCGCCACGTTTCACATAAGGATTTTCTTGAGGATCGGCTTTCCTTTTCCCCAAGATCCTGCATTACTCACGTGTGCTGCTTCCTTTCGTGCACTTTGTTTTAACCAACATGGTGTTTAATAACCTTACCGCTTGGCGGGTGGCGTCACGTTAACCCTACGTGGCATCTCGCAACATCTTTCAATGGTATGCGTTCCACGTGGCTATAGTTCCATGCGTGCCTCGCCATAAGCTCGGCCCGAGTTCGTCCGAACCCGAGTCACGGGCAAGTTCGCACGCCTTAGCAGGCGTAGCAAGTGGGCTTGGGAGCTCTCAGAAGGGTTTGACTATGGTTTCTTTGGGTTCTAACACTGACTTGGCTTGGTGAGTTGCGGGTTTATTGTGATACGTATTGCAAGTTCATCGCAGGGATGCAGGTGTGTCGCGGGTTCATCGCAGCGTGGGGGTTGGTTGTGAGCTACTCACATGCACTTTTGTGGTGTTAATCTCAATGTTTGATGCTCTCTGAGGGTCTGAGTGAGCGCTACATACCTATACCTAGGTGACGACCAACGAACACTACATAGTATTTCCTACAAGCCATTAATGACCTATAATGAGAGAATATATACTATCAACTACTAGATTAACATAAAGTATCTAAAACACAAAGTTATACAATAAAGTCGAATACATCCGCATTCGATGCATAATGTTTATCAAAGCTAGAGAAAAACAAAGACCATGACTACCAGCATGGGTTATGTTGACCTATGCCTCCTCAATGGTGGTCGAGTATAGTATTGTATCTGCAACTTGTTGCCTAAGTAGTGACATCTCTTGTTGTTGATCCACACTGTCAATAGCAACCTCATTGAAATCTTCTCCATTTGTATTAGATGAAGGTTGAATTTTGATCTCTTCATTCTCAAACTCATTAAACAGAGTGTTTGTGTCCTAGTTGTCCTTGATGAAGTTGTGTATTTCCATGCAAGCCACAACTATAAACCATTGTGTTCTCAATGGATAGCATGGCATACACTTCAAGATAGGGAATCAAGCCTTTAATACACCAAAACTCCGCTTGATGACACTTCAAAACGAGGCATGGGCATTATTGAAATACTCTTCCTTTGTTGTAAGTTGTCCTCCCCTTCAAAAATCAGGCAAATGGTACAGTGTATTACGGTACGGTGCCATGTAGCTAGCAATGTTGGGTGTACATAGAATTAACAACATAATACTTACTTGAGAATGAGAATGAGAATATGAATATTATTTTTGCACAAATTCATAGAATAATAACAAGTTGCAATTTACGCAGCCATACCCTATGGTGGATGTGGGAAATTATATTTTAGATTATATATGGCTTCTACAAATATGTGGTAGTCATGTGCGGTCCCCTCCCATCCAGTAAGGACAAATGTAAACCTCATGTTGAAATCACATGCAACCATTACATTTTGTGTGCAAGGCCCTTTTCTATGCCAGTATGATGTTTGCTTATCAGTAGGGACCCATACTGATATGTGTCCCATCAATAGCCCCTATGCAATTCTATAAAAAAAGAAGCCAATAGCTTTCAGTATCCATTTATGATGTAGTTTTGAAATATGCTCATAGTATGAGAATGATACCTTGAAATATGGTCAGTATTTTGGATTCTGGCGGATGTGTGGATGGACAATGTTGAAGTTGGGGGGCATATTATTGACAATGAGAGTTTAACTATCGCCATCAGCATGTCCTTGAAAAAGCGACTAATCATCTCGCCGGAATGTTGGAATCGTTCTTTCATCATTCGGTTCCTCTCATTATGTCCAATAACATGAAGGAAAATGGCTAATTGTTCCTCCACCGAAAAAGCGACTAATCATCTCGATTGTTTGCAATGAGGCCACACTCTTCCAGAGTATTGCATATCCATATCAAATATGTGCTTGTCCATATCAAATCTACTTCTATCAAGTAACCCTTCGATCCCTTGACTAGAGTTCTCAAGATAGAATTACATTAAGTTCAAAGAAAAACTTATACATTCAGATGAATCATGTGTATATATCCCTATATACCATTCAATTCACACCATGAATTATTTAGTCTATTATATGAATTCCTCTCCCGATTCATTCATATAAACCCAATCAATTAAGAGATGRCCACTCCTAATCGCATTAAGCATAATAACTCATAGACTATATGGAAATCACAATCTTGGATAAATCATAATAAAAATATATTCATTGTCATAGTTAGGCTTTCCACAACCCTAGCTATAAATAAATCAATTCATGGTAAATGAAATAAAACAAACAAGAGGAAAGAAAGAAATCATAATGTTGCCATTGGAGCTGAGATCTTCTCTTCTTCTTGCCGCCACCTCCTTCTTGAAGCTTTCTTGCCTTGCTGATCTCCTTCTT